TGCTGCCCATGGTCGAAGGATTGGTGGGTGCAAATCCAAATAATTTTAATTAAAGAAATTATTATTGTTCCTAATAAGATAGAATTAATCAATTAAAACATAATTTTACAATAGATGATTAAAGTCCTATGACGTATGTAAATTTTAGAAGCAAAATTAGTTCCTTTCCGATTGGAAACAAAATAATTAATGAGAATTTGATAAATATTGACAAATTAAAGAAGTAATATTTATGTATTATTTAGAATTTTGTAAAAATGTATTACTAATTCTAAATGTTAAGAGGTTCCAAGTGCATCTTATTCAATATTCAAAGAATTTGTATTTTTGTTGTAAAAAGTAAGCGATTTAGAATATGAACCGGAAAATAAGTAATCCATATATATAAATTAGATAAATGTATGTTAATTAACAGCTTAAAGAAATTGAAAATAAATTAAAAGGATATAAAACTCATAAATAGAAAAATGATTAGATGACAAATCAGTTATCAAAGTTATTGAGCGGATTATGAACAATTATTTATAATCTTGATACATTTAATATAATTATTATAATTTATTCTAATTGGATCATGCTCATCGTGAAAATGTCCAAACAGATCAATATGATAATTTCTTTAAAAAATGTTTGGTACAAATGGAAAGTAGTTTTTTTTAATGATTTTTTTAAATATAGAATGAAAATAAAAAATATTCCATATAATCAACCCATTAACTCTTCAACATCATCTACTAAGTCTTACATGTCTATTACAATCTTATTAATTATTGATTCTAATTTCATTAAATCATTAGAAAGTTTATTATCTTCAAGTTTACATATTAATGTTAAATATTACTTATACATATTTTCAAATTGTTTTCTCATTTAAATCAGTTTATTTTGAAATGAAAATCTCATTTATTTTAATTTCTATTGAGTTATAGATTATGAAGTATCTGAAAGTTACTTTGATTGCATTTAAGTGATTTCACTGATGGCCATATCTCTTTTCCCTTTCAAGACTTAATCAAATCATTTTACTGCTATTATTATTGCTTTTCAATTAAAATTTAGTTATTAAGTGCCTTAATTTCTTCTTCTTTTTTTAATATAATTTTCTTGAGATCTTAGATTTCTTCGTTGCATTTAGTATTTTCTAGTTGTATTTATAATTCTATTGTTTTCTGCTAATCCAATGATTATAATTAGTTAATTAATTTATTGTTTCTTTAATAAGTAAATTGATTTATTATTATTTAGATTCAATCTCTTATCTACTTTTTGATTATTAATCGGCTAATTATTGTAATAGAGTTAAAATTAATAGAAATGCCATGCCATATTATAATTTCTATTAATTTATCTATTTTCTAAGCTCTGCTTATCAATTTCTTAGGCTTATAAATTTATTTTATGAAGTTATTTCTTATTTAATTAAATATATTCTTGAATTTCTTTTTGTAATGCATCTATTCTTTATTTATATTGTTCATCATTACTTTTATCAAGATCAATAAATGCAGCATTAATTTCTGACAATTCCTTATCATCTATCTAATTGTTATTCCAATTTATTTATGCCTAAACAGTTTATAATTCTTTTTTGATTAATCTAATTCGCATTCAATAATCTCCTTCTTTCTTAATTCATTGTTAGCATCAGCCTACATTTCTATCATTGCTTGTTCTAATTCTTTACAATGATTCTCTTTTTCTTACAATTCTTAGGCCATTCTCTTCTCTCTTTTTCAAGCATTTCAAATTTACTAAACATGGGCAAGAATGATTAACAAACATCGTCATATCCTCTTTAAAGTCTATTTATATAATCTTCCATTTAATGAAGAATATTTGAATAATCCTCAATAGAGTATTACCATAAATTTTCTCTTGGAATATTATAATTCTTATAAGCCAATTAGTCAAAAGTAGGAAAGGATTCATTTTATTGTTATTTATGTTATTATTCTTTGGTCATGACCTTTTGTGCTGTTAATTTTGCATTTTCAATTAAATTTTTTATCATAATTTTTATGAATCGATTTTAGAAATGGGAATTTTGTTTAGGGTACTGAATAACAAGTGATAATTTATTTTAGCATATATCAGAATAGTGCAGATATCAATTAATAGAGATAAAAGAAATTTGATGAATATTCTAAATTGAAGATGAATGCAAAAACGACAGATGATGATAAAAATGAAATTATGAAAGATATTAATAGAACCTATTAGGAGATGGGATTGTTTCACTTAGAATCAAACAAAAACATTATGTGTAATGTGTTATTGTTGTGGTGCAGCCATAGTTTGTCATATCGACAGGGTATGTAAGCATTTAAATGATAGGTATGAATGAGATAGTGGGAGTGATATTTTTTACATACGTCCAATCTTTTTCGGACTGCCAAGAGTAGAATCCAACTAAAATCGAGAATGATATCTATTGGGTATTTAAGACGATTATGGATGATGGAGATCATAAACAAAATTTTAATTACTCTTCCCACATGCCTATAGATAGAATACCTCTGATTAGATACATAAAGGATTTGACAATGGAAAAACTCAAATACATTGATGAGCAATTATTTTAGATCTTTGAGTAGAATCAAATTAGCACAGAGATATTTTTAATGAAATGGATCAAAGTATGTTATTTATCCTATAAATGTGTTTACTAGCCAGAGAATATGAGATTGAATAGATATAAGTAATTTGGGACAAGATGTTTGAGAAGTTCCAGACATCGAAATTGAAATTTTTGGATGCCATGATTTTAACAATGATGATATAATTGAAACCGTAATGTAAAAAATCAATATTAAATTAAAGTACTCAAGATTGAATTCATTAATAATTTTGAGGTTTTGTTGTTGTTCCAAAATTACCCAGCAAAGGAGAATTACTAATAGATGATAGGATAGGCTGAAAAGATAGAAAGTAATATAATAGATATAATGTAATGTAGAATAATTAAGAGCGTTGGACGGGATATCATGGTTAGAGATTATCAAGAGATTCAATTTGGGTTACTCTTTATCTTTGTATTTTCAGAAGAATTGATCTATCTATTCATTAGAATTAATGGATATAAAATTCTCTTTATTTTTATTTCTAATTTAAATCCTTACAAAAATATAAATTAATTTGAATGGAAAAAGTATTGAGTTATGATTAGATCGTTTCACACTTTGTAGATTTTTGTCATAAAAATCAAGACCAGGAAATCAGTCAGATAGAAGCAACTAAAATGTTAAACTAGATGAGTGTGTAAAATGGACATCAGGAATTCAATTATGAAATTGCTGTCGAATTGTTTGAAAGAGTTGCTTCCTACAACACTTCTTTAACAATTTAAACCTTGGCTCATGTGATCTATGAAGCCAATGACATCATCATTAATAAATACAACCAGGCAATGAATAGGGAAATGTATATGGAAGAATAAAAAGCATATCTCAAATAAATCAAGCCTTATAGCAATACAACCAATCTACATATTAGCTATGTGAGAATACAAGAAGCCTATGTACAAAGACCCTTCATCGTTGTTATAATAGGAGAATTTATACATGAAAGTGAAATACAAACAAAAAAGGAGGGATGGTTTGAATGGACTCTGGATGTTCAAATTCCTGTGAAATCCCTTGTTGCAGATTTAAAAGTTGAATTATTAGAAGATCATAACATTATAGCAAGTTTACAATTGCCTTGTGAAGCCTTGCCTATGAATGAGATGAAGGAGGCTGAATTGCAAATGTAAAATGCTAATTGCCACACATTAATTTAATTGCAATGTATGCTGAGTGTTGGTAACAATTATAAGGAATTGATTGATGAAAAAATGCAGTTTCTTGAAAATCAAACATAATTTTGCTAAGAGGAATTGTTCCTCCTCCAATCTTAATTACACGAATTAAGTAGACCCTTCTTCAGAGATGCTAATATCCAACCCAAATACACCAACTATTCTAATAAGTCACAATTGAACACTGAGATATTTCAGAACATACCAAATAAGAACACCCTTTAGCCACCATCCTTGTAAGCGACTGCATTCAGAAACACTTCATCGGCCATGGGATTCAAAAAGATCGTAATCGAACCAGAAAGATAATTGTACTCCTACCCCATTATGGCTCGTATAGATCTATTGGCAACATTTATAGCAGTATTATCTAATTATGAGTTATAGGTTATTTCTATGATGATTAATTTCATCACTCCTGATATCAGTGTGATTTACATCATGATTATAGTATTCTCAATAATGTTGAAACACAAACATACCTTAATTTATATTTTGATTGTAGTGAGTTTTGGAATCATAATTGAAATTTTTACTTTAAGCCATTTAGATCTGAGCGTATTTTCAATACTCCTAATAGTATTAAACATATTATTAAATATTGGATTGCTTGTCCTTACAGGTTTGCTCGTTATTGATGTTGAAAATGTGACTCTACTTAAATCCAAGCTTTTACTACCCTTATGATTAATTAAATTTTTGTTTACACTAAAATTTTTAAATGATATTGCATATGAGCAAATAAAGCTAAAAATAAATATGATCTATAATTTAAAAAATATATAAATATCCCATGTTATTTTTAAGTGCTCTTAGTTTAAGTTAACACTACCAGCACTTGTTATTTATCTATCAAGTCTAATGAAGAAGAATTTGTTTAAAACAATTTAAAGAATTAAAAAAAATAGATTTCATAAAAGATTTTTCACTATAAGAAATAAAATTCATTATTGATATCTAAAGACATCCAAAATCAAAGTTTAACTCTATGTTATAAATTAAAAATATTAATTATTTATCTTAAATGATTGCTTATTTCTAAATCAACATTATAGAGATTATGGTGAATGTTTTGAGTAGAATTTTATCATTAAAAATTTATATAATATAATAACTTTTGTTGATTTATGAGAGAGATAGTGAAAAGGAAAATGTTATTAATTAATTCTGAAAAATAGATATCGATTTTCGACTCGAAATTAAGTTTATTAAATATTAATCATATATTTGAATGGATAATTTAAACGACGAAGAAATTTTTAATGATCGTGAGCGTATTGAGCCATTTGTCAAGGCAATCACCAGGAATAAGCATTTATTTAAAGATAAAATTGTGTTGGATCTAAATGCAGGGATGGGATTGCTAAGTGTTTTGGCTTCATAATCTGGAGCAAAATAAGTTTTTGCCATGAAAGCCAATTGTTATGCTGCTGAGATTATGAAATAGAATAACATTAAAAATGTTACATTAAAGAAAGAAAGCATTAAAGATGTGGAATTAAATTGCAAAGTAGATATCATAATTTCTGCTTGGATGGGTAACATGCTATTTTATGGGGGATGTATATAAGAGGTGATATAAGCAAGGGATAAATATTTAAATAAGGATGGATTCATTATGCCTGACAAAGGACAATTGTATCTATAATCAATTGAAGATAGCCAATATCGCAATTAGAAAATGAATTTTTGGTATTTTCAATTATAAATTTTATTTAGGAATTCAGTCTATGGAGTCAATATGAAATGGATGAAACAGTGGGTTGCAAGAGAGCCACTTATTGAGAGCATAAAGGATGATTAATTAAATAGTGATGAATAGTTAATTTATGAGGTCGATTTGCAGACTTGTAAATTGGAAGACCTCAGTTTTAGCAATTCATACTAAGTAAAGATCAAGAGATAGGACTACGCAACTGGAGTCATTGTGTGGATGAAATACTCATTCACTTACACCCATTTGCCAATCCATGTTGTTATGGGTCCTACAAAGTCACCTTTTTGGAAACCTGTCATATTGTACTTTAGAGAAGAATTGCCTGTTAATAAAGGCGACAAATTGCAAGGTTTTCAGAATTGTTTATTATGAATTAGGTTCATTAGCTGTGAAATTTGAATCAGACGAACTCTTGCAAATTAAGTTATCTGTACATATGTAACAATATAATTATGTATCATATTTTAAGTTAAATTGAGTAAGTAAATATCAATCATTATACTTTCATTCTTTTCACTATTTTTGCACTTTATTTATTTTAATTCACCAATCTAAAGGCCAACGGAGATGATCTTAATGAATTATACAAAACAGTCTCTGTAATATTACGATTAACAGTTCTTCCTCTTACATCACATTCGGTATCTCTTCTTTTTGAACAAGATGAGTATGATTTCATTCTTTAAGCAGTGTATCTTGATTATAGACACTTTATTTCTTGAGTGTTCTATTGTGAATCACTTTGAGGTTGTTTTTGAATTTCTGCTGATCTGGTAAAGTAGGATAGCTATCTATTTAATTAATTGATGAGGAAAACTTTAATCTAGTCATTCTAATCTGCAGTAAAATAGGTTCTCAAACTGTTGATTGTGTCTAGAACACATTACTTCAATTGTTTAGTCAATAGTTTTGTCTACATATAGTCTTAAGCACTAGCTTTCGAATCAAGAATGGGTATTACTAAAGATGAATCACATTTTTAATCAAGTTTTGATTCTAATTCTTAAATAAACTTTAACTTTTAATCTATATCTGTAAGCTTATCCTCCTTTATCTAAGGCTTATTATTAATTACTATTATCTATTAATTTAATTGATCAAATTAAGTTCTGAATTTTTTCGATTCCTCTTATAATTAAATTATCATCTAATTGAAATATTCCATTCTAATGTTAGTTGTGTCTGAAACCTGTATATTATTCTCTTGATATTTATTTACTTTTGGCAATTTTTATCTAATATCATCTATTTAGTTTTGCAATTCCTATATTCTAATATCTGATCTTTGATAAATTTTCTGGATCACATCAGAATTAATAAACGATCCCTCTCTTTAAAAATTCATCGACTTTCTATACATTCTTTGAGGAGATGGCTGGGTACTTTTCATTTCTTCTTAAGAAATTTCAACTCGTTTTGGACTTTCCCCATAGGTTACACTTTCGCCATCCTTTTGAATAAGTTAATGTTATAAATTTTCTATTTCTAATGTTTTTTGTTTGTTGAATTATTGAAATGAGACTTTTTATTCAAATATGGCCGCAGTTATAGATTCAAGTTTTTCATTTAGATATTCAGAATCTCTTTGTAAACTTGAGGTTTTTTACATTGCAATTTACAACTCTTCCTTCATGACAACCTTCTGGAATTTAGAATTAACAACGTTTAATTATGATTTTAAGTCATTTACTTTTTAATTCTCATCTTTGAGTTGTTCCTACATTAATTTATATTCTTCTGTTATTTCTTTTTACATCATTAATATTTTCTCCGATAAGATCTTACATATTTAGTTTACTCTATCTTCATATACTCTTTGATCATTTTTTGTAGCATACACTTTTAACTTAGTATTAGCTAGATCCTCAACCTTTTTATCAACTAATTCACTTAAGACTTACATCTATTTATCTTTGATGATTTAAATGTTATCCTAAGCAATCCCTAATTATTATTTAGAACACATTTCTCCTTACAATCGATCTACTCTTTAATGAATTTAATTCTTGATATTATCTAATTCAATACTAGTTACAAAATCTCTCCTCATTAGATCTTAAGCTTTTGTCATTTCTGAATGATCAATTTTTGAAGCCAACAACTATTCAAATTAATCCAGCCTATTTTTATAGTTTTAAGTTAATCTATCATTTTACAAGAGAATACCAGTGTATTCTTTATATTTTTAATTCATTTCTTTCAAATTGAGTCTCATTTAATTGTTCATCTCTTTACTTTACTTAGCTTCCTCTAAAATACTTTGAAAATATATAATTAAATATGTACTTATGCATTTGATTGATGCAAGGTTGAATCTATTTAATCTCCACAGAGTGTCTGGTTAGGATTTCGTCATAATGAGAACTAAATTTTGATTGTTATTATTCAATTGAGCTCAATCTTTCTTAGACATTTAATTAAGAGTTTAGTATTTAGATCGTATCACCATTCAAATCGACTCTTGAATTATTTGTTATAAAAACTTCCAAAGCTGACAATTTTTATTACATCTTGGAAATTTGATTAATATGAGGTAGAAAAGTATTGCTCAGTTATTCTATAGATTCCTCTAGCTTGATAATTCGTAATTGCTCATTCATTAATATAATAAATGTAAATCAAAAATCAAAGTTAATACAATCTTGAATATATATACAAATGTGATTGGCCAAAAAGAGAATAGGATGTCTAGAGTATTCATATACGATTATGGTTAATTGCTGAGTTCCTCTTATTTTCCTGTTGTTTTGTTAAACTAAAAAAACTTGTATGTAATTAATTTTGTTGAAGTTCTCACTTTACCTTTACCTCTGATTGAATGAAATTTGATAAATTAGAGCTTAATAAAAAGTATTATCATCAAATTCATGATTTCAATGCTTTTTATTTCATAATTCAATGTATAAAAATAATCAAATTAAATAAAATAATAACTTGTTTACATAAAACTTATCAACGTAGCATTAATTAAGTGTAAAATTTTTATGATAAATAATCAATAATTATTAATAGTGTGTTAATTTTATCGAGGCAGTATAATTAAAGCAAAACTTTAGTAAAAAATATTAATTATTCAAAGTAAGAAAAACTTGACAGAAAGGGAAGTCAAAATTATCAAATTATCCAAAGATAATAATTTATAATATATCATCAAACACGATATGATTTAGTAGAATCAAACGTTAAATTCACTAATACTACTAAGAGATACATCCTGGATATTACTATTACAACTACTTTTGCTCTAAATTACATGTTTCTATTAATAGCTTTTTCTTGCCATAGCATATATTTAACTGCTATTTTTATAGCCTGTCTAAAGCACCATCTTAGAAAATGCAGAGTCACTATTTATGTATGTTGAAACCTTTGGATTTTGAACTAATAATTCATATGGGTGTCCTTCTTCTAGGACTTTTCCATCTTCTAAAACAAGAACTTTATCATATTCTGCTATCGTATTCAATCTATGCGCAATAGTGAATATTGTGCAATCATTAAACTTATCTTTGATGATTTGTTAAATTAAGCAGTCAGTTATCATGTCAACATTTGCAGTTGCTTCATCCAAAATCAGTATCTTTTTCTTATTCAACAGAACTCTACTTAAACAGATTAACTATTTCTAACCAATAGAAAAGAACTCTGGTTCAATCTAATGGTCCAATCCATTTGGTAATTATTAAATAAAACCTTCCAAACCTGTATCAGATAAGACATTTAATAAAGTTTTATCATCAAAGTTTTAAAAAGGGTCTAGGTTTTCTCTCAAAGTGCCCTTGAAAAGAAAAGGTACTTGAGGAATAATACTGATTTCTTTCCTTAACTTGTATAAATTTATTTTGCGAATATCTTAATCATCGATTGAAATTATACTAATAAATATAGACATATATGATACCCACTATTTTAAATGGAACTTAATCTGAAAAGACTTGCGATGACTGATGATTTACCAGCTCCAGTTCTACCAACAATTCCAACCTTTTCTCTATCCTTGATTTCGAAATTCATTCCCTTTAATACTAAAGGAGTGTTCTCTCTGTATTACATTTTTACGTTTGAGTAAACAATGCTACCCAATTTTGGCCAATTTCTAATCTTTAATTCCCCTTCTGCCTCTTCTTTCTCAATTTCTAAATCACATATTTCAAACATTCTATTAACACTATTCATCATAGAATCAAATGCCATAAATTATCTCAATGTACCAGCTTAAGTATTGAAAGTTGAGAGTAATAGTAAGGCTTATGAAAAAATAGTGGGATCTGATACCATACCTATAATCAAAAAGATTCCAGATATATTAGCAAACTACCCAAATAAATCGATATAAAACCCAAAACATCTCTATGAATACAAAAATATTAAATTGGCCTACATAGATTGATTAGACAATTTTGTAAATTTCTCCCTTATCCATTGTTAATTCTCATTAATCCTGATTTATGTCACTCCATTAATAGTAATTTTAAATTAATCAAATAAAGGAGATCTTTGTATTAAATCGCATATCTTTAATTGAGAGACCACTGATCGTGTTATTCTGAAAATTACAATTGTACTAATAATTGTGAATAAAGCAGCAAATGTGAAATATGGTTATAATATTGCTATGGTAACAAGTGATACCAAAAATTGTGATCCTTATTCAAATATATCAGTAATAATTTATTGAATTTAGGTATCGGCCAATGATAAATCAGTTGAAAATCGATTAATCAATCTTCCAGAAGGGTTTGTGTCAAAATATAAGATTGGAGATAGAATTAATTTTTGTAACATTTTGTTGTGAATGCTGTTATTAGAAGTAAGAACACCAAATATATTTAAAAAATACTTTATGATATTATTGAAATAGGCTGCTAGTACCAAAATTGCTGCATTGTAAAATATCTGATCATTATCTTGTTATTTATCTTCATCAAAAGAAGCCATCTCTTTATAATAGTAATTATTAATAATTTCGCTAGCAACATTTTGGCACAATATTATAAATATTAAAAAGAAAGGTTTCCAATAACTAAAATATCTTCTGTATGTTTCTAATGTGGCATCGGATTAATTTTGATCTTCATTTGTATATAAACTTAAGGTTTCGTCCTTACTTGATTTTTATATCTAACTGACAATCTTACCAATCAACTTACTAGGTCTTTTGATTTTTAATGATCTAATAGGATTATCAACGTTGCTATTACTAGTATGAGCACTTGAGATTTCTAAAACGTGTTTCTTCATCTTATTCTTCTAACCCTAATGAGTAATCATGCCACCATCAATAATAACAATATAGTCACATTCTAATGCGTAAGAGATCTGATGCGTAGCTAAAATAACGGATGGAGTTTGTTATATGAAAGCCTAATGAGTCTTAATTAGACTAGGTCTGTAATTAGGTTGAAACTTAAATATAAATTCTTTGATTGCATTTTCAAAGATTTTGCCAGCAACCTTAGAATCTACGGCTGATAAAGGATCATCAAATAAATATAAATCAGCTTATGAATATAATGCCCTTGCCAAACTTAATCTAGCCTTTTAACCTCCTGATAAATTTGCTCCTTTCTCACCAATTTCTGTTTTATCCCCTTGTCTGAAGGATAAGATATCTTGATCTAAACAACTCACTTCCAAGACTTTTAGATAGAGTACTTAATCATAATCTTTACCAAACAGAATATTCTCTTTGATAGATCCAGTATAAATAAAGGGGTCTTGTTCAACATAGGCAAGTTTCAGCTTTTTTTGATAGGTGACACTTCCTTCATAATATGGTAATTCTTAAAGTATAGCTGTTAAAAGTGTGGTTTTGCCAGCTCCAACCTTTCCAATAATCCCCATAATTTCCCCTGATTTAATTTCTAGGTTAATTTAACTGATAACAGAGGGACCATCCTTTGACCATTTGCCATAATATTAAGATATCGATACAAGGGATGTTGACTGTAAACTCAGACTACCTTTACGATTGAGTCCTCTACTTCTATCCTGTAACAATTACTGCATAGGTTAATTTTAAACATCATATGTAGTAAAAGTAGTTCTAAATTATTCAATCGTTGTGATGTTGTTGGATTGCTATTTAAGTATCTCAGAGACTCTTGAAAATATTACACTAAAATTCATTAGTGCTTAAAATGCATAAGACACTTGAAAAATGCAATAGTATTTGATCATCGACATGAGTTAAATGGTTCCCATAATATTAGAAATAGTCAAATGAGTATCATTAGCATACAATATTAAAATGAAACAAAATGATCCCCAAATATGAACACTGAAGTTGAAAGAACGGTCTAACAAATTTAAAGCATGAATATTCAAATAATAGAAAAACTCTTTCCTTCTTATAACATTGATCTTATCTTCAAATAGCTTCTCCCATACGTACATTTTGATATATTTAATCCCCTCAATAACAGTGTTTGTTTACTAATTTAGTAGACTTTAATCATACTTGTATCCGTTGATCCTACAACTTTCTAGTCTATAACAACAATCTCTTATTGATATTCTAAATCAATATTTGCAAAGGGTACAAAATGGCACAAAATATTATGGCAACTAATCCAAGAGGACCATCAAATCTTAACTAAAATTTACAAATTTGATACCCATAGGATGATTGAAGTAAATAATAATGATCCTGGGATCACAGCCACTTAATAAATGAAGGTCAATTAGTATTCTATCACATTAAGATCACTGCTCACCAGATTCATAATCTTACCTACATTCAACATTTATATCTGAGTTGAATTCAATTCTATCACTCTGTCATAGATTAAATTGATAAATATCATTCTTATTTTAGTAGCAAAATTACTTATCAAATACCTAAATAATTATTAGTTTTACTATTATTAGTGCTTACTCATCAGGGCAAGCAATGAAAGCAATGCTAGAGCTGTAGCTTACAAATAGGCACTACTCATATCATTCTCTGTCACTGCTGATATCAGAGTTTCAGTTAAAATCGCCATAACAAATCTTGAATAAGTCTCAAACATAGCAAGAATAACGATAATCATTGTCACATATTTATTATCCGACCAAAAAATTAATTTAAAGAGAGCACTATTATTAAAGTAAAAAAAGTCCTATAATTAAAATCGTTTTTACATTGTTTTTTATCTATTCCTATATTTTTTTTAAATTATATTAAATTGAATCTTGATAACTTTGTTTAGGTAAGTGGGTCACATTAATTTTTTAAATAGAGGATTCAATAATCTATTTCAATTGTTTCATATAACAAAAAATATGATAAAGGAATAATCTCTACAAAAAATTATAGTGTTAATAGATAGTTTCGTCATTGATTTTATGATTTTGGGATGCTCTCATTGGAGAGTAGAGACTTTTCATTGTATTTAGATTTTTATAAGATTTAATTGCACTTTCAATCTATGGGGAGTCTACTACTTAATGTTGTTTTGGTGTATTAAAGGGTTAAGCTTCTACTGGATGACTAGGATCTTAGTTGTTTTCACTCCAAAGTATTTCCTGGTTGTAATGATTTCGACTTTTAAAGGGACTCTCAACTTCTTCTTCAAGTACATAATTCAGAACAGCATTAGATTATTAGGGATTTATTTATTATTGAGATTATTTCTCACTAATATAGTCTTCGCTATCCTCCTCTTTGATAATGTCACTGTCGATGTCCAAGTTTCGAATCTTTACCGATACCTTCTTTTTCGAAGGCCTTTCGAGTCTTCTTCGAATATCTGGCTCTTATGCTTCTAACTCTGTATTTGAAGAAACGCTTTCATCAGGCTAAGGTTAGTGAAGGTAGCGGGATGAATTCTCTTGAAACTATTTTCTTTACTTATGAGTACTAGAATTTAGCATTTGATGTTAAATTGGGATTTAATTGATATATATATATATATACGAACAGTGTTGATTTTAAAATACAAAGTAGATAATTTACATTCCAGAATCAAAGTGAAATTTTAATTGATTTGAATTATTATACAAAATAATCATATTAACAAATCGTTAATGGTTTGGTTTCTAGCATCGAAATTATATTCTGATTGAATTCCATTTCTTTACATGTAAGGCAGATTGTATTTTAAACATTCTTCATATTCTTGTTGAAGTTATTATAGATGAGGATTATTCATGAATTCAATGTCCTCTTCCTTTTTTATACTTGGATGATGTTCCATTTCATGTTGAGGATTCCAAAATTCTTATTGAATATTAGAATAATAATATTTCTATTATTCTAACATCATATAGTAATAAGGATCATGTGCTTCATAATTGGCGATGACATTTGCCTCTTCTTTTAAAATATAGTATTAAATTTTACCTGCTTTTGGTAAGTCTGTTTGTGGATTCTTCTTTTTTCTGCCTGCTCTGCTCCTTTCAGCACGAGGTAAACGTTTTCCGTTTTCTCCTCTCAAAGCGTATGGGTTAAACTTCTGATGATGACTTCTGCACTAACTTGGTGTTCTAGTACCAATTAGTTCACTCATTTATTTGAATATTTTTGATGTCTTTTTCATCATTGAGGATGTCATTATATCCTCATATTGCTATAAAAAGGATATATAGGTCGAATGTTCATCGGTTGACCAATGACCAGTATTTATGTTTTCTTTCTTTGGCTTTTTAATTTGAGAATGTTGTCCTTTCTCTTTTTATGTCTATTAAGAACCTTCCTGGGAACCTTAGCCATCTTGATGGGGATTGGAAACAATGTCAGATTGAAGTTTAGGCAATGGGCTGCCTTGTGTGTAATGAAACACTGGATATGGTTGTTTAATACTAGGGTGAGAATGAATTATTGTACATTTAATCTGGTTGGATGATTATTTGTTGTTGATCCTCAACGAACTATTTGTCGGATTCCAATGTCTTAGGTAAAAGCCCCTTGGAATCGTTATTCCTTTTCAATGAAATTAAATTCAATTACTTATGTTTTTTATTTTTTTTATTTTTTATTTGGCTTGGAATCTCGTGTTCTTGTACGAACTCAAATTAATAAGGAGGAAATGTTTGTGGATAAAAATTCTATTGAAATAAGTTGAACTCATTATAATTTGAAGCCTGGCTCAATTCTGAATATTAGATTATTATCATACTTGCTTGTTCAATATCCCCTTAGAATTACACTTGTGCTTCATTCACATAAGGGAAGTAATTTTGATATTGCTGAACGTTCATCATATATATTTAGAAAATATTTGTTTTACAATTTTTAATTAATATTAATCCAATAACATACTTAATTTCTCAAGTTAAATCATCCTTCACCACCATCTGTCGAATTATCCTATCCAATTGATTGTCCAAAAACAAGGACTGCTGAGGAAGCAACAATAAAAATCGCTTCATCAAGTTGAATTCCCATTTAAAATATGACAATATTTTAGTGTAAACCAACACAATGACCAGCACAACTAGTATGATGAACATCAAATTTATTATCTAAATTTAAAGTTAACAAATTACCAATATTTGTGAAATCAATTCATCAGTTGACTTCTTCAACTAATTTTAAAATTTCGATTTCAAAACTGAAATTGTATCATACAATATCAATCCAGCCTCAAGTTCTTACTAGGTCGTATATACCTTAAGAGCAAATCCATTAGTTTGAGCATACTCGTTAAGTAAACTGTTTTTTATATCTGTACCAGCAGCCTAAAACCCTTTCCTCAAAACTCCTTAATAAACGGCATCACAATGACTTTAAGCCAACTCAATTTTATTCTTTTAATAAAAATCTAAAATTTACATCTGGCAAGAATTAACACACATCAGAACTCATCATCAGATTCATTTATGATACGAAATCCTCAGATGTTATATATTTATTTGTATCCAATTCAGATATTAAAGATAAGAAATTGTTGATAATTTCAATCTAATTAAAGAAATTTTGCACAAAAAAAGTGGCATTTTTATCTGGAAAAAAGTAAAAGAGATTTGTTAATGGAAACTTTTAATAATACGTAACATCTCTCATAGAGAATATTCCACTGACTGCAATGCATAAGTCTGATAAGGAGTTAAAAAATGTTGTTGTATCTGGATACTTATAAAAGTAATTTCTTCCCAAGGAATTTGTAATAAAACAAAAAATAAAGCAAATTCCAAATAGCAATGTAAATGTTAATATTGATGGCAACATTGACATTCTTTAATTTAAATTGGCAATTTGGCCTTTTTACTTTGATTTATTGTTTTTTTAATTCTAAGCAATTTTCTCCTTCCTTATATCCTCTGCTGCTAAGAATTTCTCCTTTATATCAATATCAAACTAATATTTAAATAAAACATCAGAATCTTTAATCAATAGGGAGGCTATCCCTCTATATCTATCTATATCTCTTTATAACCATACAGCGTCTATAAAACTGAAGAGTTAAAGAAAATTATTGTATTAATTTAGATAAGCCTTATAAAATGAGAAGGTAATAAACAATAATAGCAAACAAACTAGTATTATTGGAATCAGAAGGTAGTTCCATTTATCTGATACAGTGCCTGATCGAGTTATTGAGTAGTTTACCATCTCTTCGTTTAATATCTACAACTATTCTACAAATGTTTAATAATTTCCATACAGGAATACCAAAAACCCTTAAGTTAAATCTAAAGTAACGATATTATAATAATCTATATTGACAAAATTGTAACAGGCCTCTAGATATAAATACATGGATTCTCTTGCAGATATTGTATAATTAGTTGTATTTGGATACTTTCCGACCATAATGTTGAAGTATTTATCTTCAAAAAAGGGATTCAAATAAGGATTTGACAATTATTTAGTAAAACTATCCTTGAGTTCAATGTAAGTATAATTTATATCCTTGATTGAATACTGCATTTTTTAAATCTAAGTTGTAATAGTGATGTTAGGGTACAATAACATTAGTACAATATAAGTTGTCAATGAATTCTAAGCATCAATGTATTTATTAACTGGTCCAATAATGTTAGATTTTATTTAAATTAAATCCAGCTCTTCCAAAAATCTGACCAAATCATCGTTTGAATAATAGAGCATAATCCCACTATAAACTAAAAATAAACTTAACATAATTGTCAGAAATACAAACATTATTTTAAAATTTTTTGAAAACTTAGTTGAGTTTATCAATTTTTCAATTAAATCATACTTTTTAGAGTATTTTGATTTCTTTAATCCTGCTATTGAACTTACTTATGATCCAATGTCATCAATGTGAACTATTCGCTACTCTTTGGAGTCCATTTACATTTGCATTCTTATGTTTTCTTATAATTCCTAATCTATATCATCATATTAAAGTTTATCAATTTAATTTTCAATTATCTGATTTTTTTTTATTTCACTACTTTATTGAAAAGATGAAGAATAGTCTTCTTATTCATTTTATTCGTCTGACTTAAAAAATTATTATTTCTTTAGATACTGCTTATTTTAAATTGAAGTTACATTAAAATCTGGGTTTTTATTCTCTATCAGTCTTAACCCACTATCTTTAGGACTCATCATTGATTAATTTTGATATGGTTATTAATAAGATTAATTCATGCTTTTATCATTAGCCCTTAATTTTTTCACGTTGTATTCAAATTAATCAAAATGGTCTAAATTATCAAGATTTTCAGGTTGATCTTACAATCCATATAATTCTATTGCTTTTGGCATATTAACTGCAAATTCTATATCTTCCTACTCGATTTCCATGACATCCAAACTTTCAAAATCTTAATTTGAATTATATCCTAATGTCATTTATGGATCAGGCATTGTGGCTTCTGTTCTAGATTATTTTTTCATTTCTTTGATCTCAATTATTATATAATTCAATTCAGTCTTGAAATTTCTTATATGCAAAACGCAATCAACTTAATAGTTAACTAAATGATCCTAGTTGTCCCAATTTAATTTTTAGTTGCTTTATAAGAGCAAAGCTTAAGGAATGTACATCTGTAAAGAATATTCACTAACTTAGGTTGTATCCACTATATCTTAATTAATATCAGATGCCCTAGTTATGTTGACCTCAAGTATTGAGGAAATTTTAGGGAAGACTTTGCTTAAAGAGACTTTTTGAAATGCTTAAGCCAATTCTTTATTTAATTTATTGCTGTAATTCAATTTATTAATAAAGTTTTTTGAGATTCCTGACACCTTATGATTAGATAAGGAAAATAGATAGACACTTTGAGTTTCAACATTTTATAGAAAGCAAGCAAAAGTTAAGTCATCCAAATTCATAAAATTGATGTCATAAAAGAAGTCTATCGTTTTAATAAAGCTTTACTGGTATTAACAAAAGTTCAAGTTAATTTATCTGAAGTATTTTGATACTCCATGTTACAGAAAATTGGCAACTAATTTTTCATGTACTGTTTCAAATCCTTAAGGTAGTATTGCATTGATTTAGGAGATCATTTTAAAGGAATCTTAGGATAATCCAAAAAATTGGTGTATCATATTTGAACCACTTCTAATTGCTAATTTATGTGATTTTTAATCAAATCCTATGATGAGATAATCGATTTTATTAGAAAATAGGTCAAAATTAGTTGAGGACTACATTTTCAACAATTTTTCATCTGAAATGGAAGCGATGGTTGCTATTTTATAAGCAGAAAAATAATTATTCATAATTTCGGATTAATAAAATGTATTGAGTGCTTGCATCTTTTAACTTGGAAACTGATCATATAATTTGTATAACTAATCTTCAAGATCGTTCATTTGAATAAGTAATTTTTTACCAGCTTAAAAAATAATAATATCATTGCTTAATTGATTTAAATTATTGTAGAATTCCCTTTTCCTATTTATCATCTTAACTACTTTTTTTCTTAATTTTTTATTGTTTTCTTCAGATTGCAGAAATAATTTAACAGCATGTTCTAAATTCTCCGAAAGTTGAGCAGACTATTTAGAAAATCCTATGCTCATAGATTACTTGATCTATTCTTAAACTAGATTAAGCTTTTATTTTATGATGAATCCCAAATTGTTTAATCTAATATGAGTTGTACTTTATGTATTTTTATCTCCTCCTACTTTTGATTTCTATAGTGAATGACTCTTAACTTCTTAACTATTGTTTACATCTTTTTTCTCACTTTATTATCGATAAAATTTTTAGTTTACTAAATTAGTAGCAGATGAACTAAATTAGATCTGTTCGCTGTCAATTTAAGCTAAAAAATTTGATTATTAAAATGCCTTTGTATTCAATCCTAGATAGTTAATGAGAGATAAGTAATGCAAGAAGAATGATTAACGGGCAGATTCATCTTTTGTTCTTGAAATCATTATGTCAAAGTACTTGACCTAATCTTTAAGGAATAATATGATGGTATCTTCAAAGGAAAGTATTTGTCTCTTGCATATGCATTTGGAATCTTCACATTCATCCTAGTGTGTCTATTTAAATAGATGGATATATGTCATCTTCTTTTTGTTTTGCAAGTAATTCGATTATAAATAACCATAATCATGGATGATATTACCAATTTTATATTATAACATATCAGCTGTAATTTTTGAACTATTAGTCACCATTAAGGATTCATGTATTTTAATTTGGTAACTCTAAATGATTCCATTTAAAATTGGTGAAATCAATAAGATTAATAACACATCATATGTATTTTGATTTTGTTTGGAAACTTGGTTGATGAATAATATTATGGCCAGTGTTATTTGAAAAAAATTACATTACACTTCAATTTTTTATCGATTATGCAAATTGGGATAACTCCATATCAAAGCCCAAAAATTACTAACTTGCTTGACTAGTATTATACTGAAAATTAGATAGAATTTGGTTAGAGGAGAACTGTCCATTTGATCAATAACTAAAATAATTAGATTCGATAAGGATTTCCAATAATTACTAAAGGTAACTTACAGCAATTATAAATTTTGAGGAGTAACAGAGATTGATTCTAAATTACAAAATAATTGAATCAAAAAATTCCCTAATACCAAGATAAGCGTTATTATTGAAAATGACAAATTAATCATGTTGATGGACGAATTTTTTGTATTTTAGAATATGGAGCTCAATGCTAATTCTGTCAAAGGAATTATAGTAATGTAATACATCAATGAATGAAAATATGATAAAATTCTTAAAAGAACTTAAATTAATCTATTTTAACTTTTCAAAAATTCTCTTAATCTATGCTACTTTTTATTTTTTCCCAAAGACATTATAAATAAATATATCAGTAGAATCTGATAAAGTATTGTGATGCATAAGGGTATTAAATAACTCAATTCATTAAATTGCTCATTTAAGCTTAATCTTAATCGAGATGCCAAAGAAATTTCTCTAATAAAAGTGAAGAAATTGATTCCCTTTTTGTAAAATTCATCTTGATAATTCAACAATAAAAAGCTTAATTCTTAAAGGGTGGAAAATATCAATATGATATTAATTATGGCGCTATTGAATTTAACAAAGTGTTGTTCACAAAGTATTCTAACTTAAATATAGAATTCAATAAATCTTTCATCTAAAGAACTTTTTTATTTTTGTTTCTTTTTTCCTTATTTCATTAGGTCAATATGATGATTATCAACAATTATCTATATTTATTAAATTAGATAAAAAATAAAAGTTCATATTCTCTACACTGAATAATGTATTAAATCATAATTGTACAATTATGTACTTTTATAAGTATCCATCCTTTTCAATCCCTGCATGTGATTTGCTGAAGAATATAAATTAATAATTAACAGGCTCAGGTTACCTTAAAGAATTGGATTAAATGAGATGACAATGCTTAAGAAATTGATATCTGCATGTAAATATTGAATAAGGGAAAGGTTTCAATTAAATGTAAATAAAATTGTAAAATTACAAATTATCATGGTCTCTTGACATTTTTAAAGAGTTCATTTTCTTTTATAAAATGAAGTCAAATAAATCAAGTTGAAAAAATTTGAAATAATTATATTTTATAATTGAGAATTAATATCTAATTTTAGGCAATCGCACGATAAAATTTAAAGTTAGCATAAATTAAAAATGTTCTAAATAAAATAGATAGAGATGATTTATTCAATTATAAAAGATAAAAATTGAAACACACAAAGGACACTTACTATAATTAATTTGAACAAAGCAGATCAAGTATTTAAGGACATAATAAATTCAAATGTAATCTCAAAATTATATAAATTAAATATAATTTTGCAAGAAAATTGGCTAATTGAATTATAATTTTTCATCATTTCACATTATCGATTACTTAGTTTAATTCAAATCTGTTATTAGTATTTAAGTAATTAATCATTAAATTATGATAATTTAAGTCAAAAACCTGCCTTTGCCTTCTAATAATGAATTACCATTTCGAACAGTTTCATTCCTATAAATACTCTGCTTATTAATTTGTTAATAGTTTTAAAAAATTTATTAATAAATTGAATTACAAAATTCTAATTGATTTAAAAATATCAATATGATGAAATGAGAATATACAGCATATAAAATTGGAAGTGTAAATGTATTTGCGGGATCTATTAATAAAATACAACTTTGAAATCTAGCAAAAATTTAGACATTTGAAAATAAATCTTAGAGAATGAGAGCGATGTTCAAAGAATTAAAAATAGACAATTTATAATGTGAAGAATTTATTTAAAAAGCATCAATGATAAGTTAAATTAAATAAACAACCTATTAACAATTCATCATTTAATTTATAAGTATTAAATAAGTCTAGAGCACATAAGAGAATATATTTTAATTTTAGTTTGGAATATAAGAAACTTCAAGGCAATAATAAACCAAAGGAAGAAAATACTTAGAAAATGATTAAATTATGCAAATGTATTTAAAATTCAATTTCCAGACTTTGAAAATACATTAGCATCTAGAGTCTTATCTTTTTCCATTTTTAATTCAGCAATTAACCACTATAAATCTATTTTCTCTTTTTATATTATGCATTTAATATCATCAATTACACTTCGAGCTCGCTTATCCAATCTAGTTTTGCTGTTATTAACATCCTTTGATATATCATATAAATACTTATGCAATAAAGTATTGGGATACAGCTGGATGCTTATAGATTTCCTCGAATGAAAATCTCTTGTTTTCATCAACTTATAAGCATCCAATTATTAAATCTTTAGTTTTCTAAGAAATTTAATTTTTGTCATTAGGGAATTATAAAGGCTAAGTTTTTATGTTTTTTATGAGTTCAGGAGGTGATCTGGCTGTCCAAGGCGCTTTTAAATATTGTGAAGATTCTTACTCTTTCCAAATAAGGCCTCATACAATATGATTCCTAAACTCCAGACATCAGTTTTGGAGTTATACATTTGCCGATCTAAAAGTTGAGGACTCATGTAAAGTGGTGTTCCAACGATAGAATCCATCATAGATTTATTATAATTGCTCACAAACTTGGCAAAGCCAAAGTTAGCCAATTTATAGGTCTTGGTTATGAAAACACAAATACTTATTTATCAATTAAAATATTTTCAGGTTTAAGATTTCTATGAGTTACACCATTTTTTATAAGTTGAGTAAAACCATTAAGTATATCAATCAAAAGTTTGATTGTATCTTTTTCAGAAAGTAATTTTCTTTTCTTCAAAAGTCTGAAATCTATTAAATAGAATACTCATAAAAATTTCCTCCATCACAGTATTCTTAAACAATATAATAATTATTATTTGTTTTCATGACTTCCAAAACAGCCACAATATTTGGACTCTGTAATTGATACATAATCTTAACTTCTTGAAAAAGTCCTTCCCTTAAATAGTCATCTCTATCTTGATGAATAAATTATTACGAATCTATTACCGATTTACTCAACATCTTGATAGTTACCTTCTCCCCAGTTTTTTCATTGATTCCTCTATAAACTTCAGCATTATATCCTTGTCCAATTCTATTATTTACATTAATAATATATTTGTCAATTCTTTTGTCAAACATCAAAACCAATTTATTTTGTTTTCAATTTAATTTAATAACCAAGATAAGAGGATATCTTAAAGTAAAATAATATCAGATAATCCTTTTACATACTTTAATTATATTCGTTGCAAATATAAGAAAACTTTTGTTTTGAGATTTAGAAGAGTAAAGAAAGAGGCAATTAATATGAAAATATGAATTTAATATTTAATTAATTATGCAATGGATTAAAGACTATATGAATCTGATAATTTAGACAAATTTGTCACCATCATTAAATAGTGTCAAATTCATTACTTTTGAGATTCTGATCTACTATTTGTAACTCACACACTTCATTATGCAAAAGTATGATGAAAATGTTTTCAGATTGATTAAAAGCATATCAGAAATATGTGTTCTTACTCCTTTGTTTTAAGATATCTATGCCATCAATGTTCTCACTGGCGTATTGCTTACCATGCTAAACTGTTTACCCTATCTAATAATATTGCATAGAAAATTTACAATTGAACATTCAAATGTATCAGTCATATCCAAATCATTATCTCAGGTATAAGCAAACCTAAATTAAGTCTGCCACAAAGTTAGTCAATTGTTATTTCCTGTATTTCAATTGGTTTTTTTACTTACCTCAGATGCATTACATAGGTTGGAATTTTTTAAGTCAGAGTGACCTACTTCTAGTTGTGCTTTCAGTGATAATACTCTGCATTTCTACAGGATCGTTGCTGATTTCCAATATCTACTTCATCAATTTTGAATTCAATGAGTAGTCACTAAGAAAGCATTTTACCTACTATAATTGTTTCGCACAATTGTTGATTATCCCCATGGCTATTTTGAATCAAAGTGCTGATTCATTGTACTAAATGGCTGGCAGAATATTTCACAGTATTATTCTATTTGTCTTGATTTATGAAGCCTATGTGGAACTACCATTTGGGTAATTGTAATTGAATAAACTTTAGATTCTCAAAATACTCAACCATCTACAATAGATTATTAATTATGCATATATTACTATTTATTTTCACATCTATTTTGTATTCAAACCCCGATCAAGCTTATAGTTCATTGGCTTTAATGTTAATCCTTCAACCAGTCTCCTAGTATCTCTTTTAAACATTAATACAACACAAAAGATTAAAGACCTATCATAATACTTTAAATTAATATTACGAATTGTTAGTCATAGAAGATTTCTTTGACTTAATCTAGGCTGCCTAGAAGAGTAAGAAAAGAATTATCGAGTTTAATCTAGAAATTTAGTTTGCATTTGAATCGCTGTCAGTCACTCAAATGCTAATGCAAGAAGATAGGAGCTGGAGGAGTCTTGAAATGGGAAGATGCAGTCATTCTAACATCTTGTTTATTTAGAATTGGGTTTGAAAAGCACAGGAATGATTCCAAGAACCTCGAAATTTATAGTCTTAAATTCCTTACATTCATCAATAAATACAGAAATAATGCTCCAAAGAGTTATTAAGAGTTGAAGATCCTCTTTTAAAAGAAGCGAGAATATTCATTTTATTTCATTTAAATCTCCCTCTTATTATAGTTCATCTTACAGGCTCAGATGCAAAAGGACGAGGATTATAATATCAACAAGGATACTCGTGTATCTAATGTGAAACTATAAGTAAGCAAGAGTGAAAGAAGTATTGTATAAACATTATACTAAATGGAGTAAATTAAGTAGAATTTACTCCCCTTATTAATGCAGCTAAGTTAATTTAAGATTCAATTTTGGAAGCAATATTTGTCTGGTAAATTTTAGAATTTCTCTGAAATCGAAATTGAGGTTAAATAATTGCAACTTTTGAAAAACTAAATCTTAAATCAAATTAAAATTTATCAACCAATTTTTTATACGCATGGTCGCACATTTAATGTTCAATTCCTTAAATATAGCGCTTTGATTGATTTACTCTTGTTTAACAATGTTAGGAGATATTTTGAACTAGAAAGAGGTAATACATAATTTATATTGATAGAAAGAAGAGAAATTTTATAATTGGAAAAAAGCATGAATTCTTTTGAAACAACCAATATTAACTTTTTTAAAGGGGAAGCCATATCTTTAAAAGTTTGCATTGCTTAAGGTCCAAATATTGGGAAAATTCTAAATGAAGTTATTTCACCTTTGATCCCAAGGTTTTTTGGGTTCCATCACTTTGATAATCCATTAGAAGCTTTCCTCGATTTCACTAAAGGAAATATTAACACTCTAATGCCGTCTTGGTTAGAACCTGTTCATGATGAGATTATGTAAAATTACATTAGAAGAGGAGGCACTGCTAGGATAGGCAAGTACTTTTAAACTTTTGCAAAAATATATGATAAAACATTGATAAGATGTTAAGTCTATCTAGCCCATAATTTTAGTTAAAACTTAAGTGATGATTTTACTATGATTGGTTGTTTGAAATCCTTGGAAGTAGAATAACCCAAAATCAAACCTGGGAAAGAGCCAAAGAAAATAAAAGATCTTGCTTTTAAAGGGGCTTAACATATTTTATTTGATGTTAATGGAAACATTTTAGGAATAACTTAAGGATTATTTAAAATGATCGATCGTCTATAAAGGACTAAAAGTGCACCACACTTTGAATCTATGAAACATAACAGTCATGAGAAAAGTAAATCTGAGAACTCTTCATTTGAGAGTGAGAGCTTTGATGTTTACCAATAATAATGGTCAAACTAACTGTTAAAAATAGATGAATTTTATTAAAAAGCGCTAATTTGGATGTTTTTACCATTCTTATCGAGGGAGGTAGAATCCACTGGAATTGAGTACTTGATGGATGGAGAAACTCCCCCTAAGAATAGATATCCAAATTTAGTAGATCTGGAAACTAGTAATAGCATTGTAAGCAATAAAGAAACTTATTTATTTATTCCTGAGGATATTAATTTGTTTGTATCTTAGTATGAAAAAGTGTTACAAAAAATAATGGATGATGTACGTGTTCAATCAAATAATTTCTCTTCAGGGAGTCAATACAAAGGTATGAAAAGTGACTACTAAGAAAGCGAAAGTTTTAGTGCTCAACAAAGTGTTACAATATACAATGAAAAATTATGTAGCTTTTTCTTTGATTAACATTTGAAAAGTCATCAAGCCTTGTAATTTGGTACTACTAGATAATCAGAGATGCAAAAGACTTCAGTAAAACCATCTTCATAGTCATAAGTGTCATTATAAAGTGAAGATAATAGTGAATAACTTAAAACCAGAGCTGAAAAGGTCTATTAGGATAAGTACACTAAATACATTGAAAAAATATCACTGTAAGATTTCAATCCAGTTCCTGTTTTTTATTCAGTCAATTATGAAGAATATAAGTATAAAAAGAATGACATCGAACAAAAATAACAATTTTTTGTAGTTGAACTCGTTATTAATGAATAATAATTATTAAATACTATGGGTTATAAAAGATAGGTAAGGGAAACCATTAAATAAGCTTGTTTAAATTTTTAATCTAAAAGACTCTTGATTGAATAATAAATATAAACAGAAGATTCTAATAGTCTTCAAGGTAATATCAGTGAATAAAGAAGTGACCATGATGGAGAAATCGTTAATTACATGTTCCCCACTCATCCATCTCATTATTATGAAGATCTATATTTTCACTCTCCTAACAAGGATTAAGTTCCTAATTAATTTAATTAGAACGATAATAAATATTTATTCAGTAGTCGGAGTGATGAAAATGAACATTAGAATAAACAAAGTGTAAATACATAGGAATCCATTATGAAAGGATCTTTGCATTTAAAATTCCCAGAAAGAAATTTGGCTTTGAAAACCATGAACAAATTTATGGAAAAAAGAAAATAACAAGATTTCTTTAATGAGACTGATTCTAAATTAGCCATCGATAGTAGAGCTTCTTAATAATAAATTCAGGAAGAATATTAGGTCAAATATTCTGAAAATCTTAAAATATTCGATTAGAATTATAAATCAATACATTCTAAATTGTAAGAATTCAATAATCCTACCTCGTTTAGAATCTAAAAATATCTACTATATTTTGTGCTTTTTTTGATAATCGGATACATCATCCTATTAACGATAGCAGTATTTCAATAATACAATTTTAATGATTGTTTTGATCTTATTGAATTAATGTTATCTACCCAGTAAAGCTATTCATAAATTACTCATGGTCTCTATCATTTAGAATTAGCAGATTAATTTAATCACTTTGATAAAAATTTGAAGGAATTTTATTCTTCTCAAATTGATAGTAATCTTTAAAACTTAATTAATTTATAAAGTGAACAATTAATAGATATCAATTAAGTTAATTTTAGTGTGAATTAATTTTATAACATTGAATACTTAGCGATTCTTAATCCAACACTATAGGAGACCATTTAGATGAGCTTAGCTTAATTTTATAAAATAAAAAACCACACATCGAATAATTCATAAGTTACACTCATTTCAACCGCTAATTTAAAGGAAATTGGATAATTACCTAAATTGGCATATGATAATTGTTATGATGAAAAAGTTTAGAATGAAGAACAAGTCCAATCTTTATTAACAATTTATATGTTAATTATTTTTTTTTTGGTGATGTTGCTGTAGTTTTTGTAAGTACCTTTGATATAGAAACTTAAGAATGATCATAGAAGATTATACAAAATTGTGATTAGATTGTAGGTGTATGAAGTATAGGATGAAATTGAGACTTACGAGCATATACTTTCAATCTTTAAAAGGTCATTATATGAATGGATGTTAATTGATTTTGTATAAGAAACTCGAATGTTCGAAAACAGTATTGATAATATTTAAATGTAAACTCAATAATTAACTGAATAAAGTTAAAATCTCTTGCTTAATACTAGTAATAAAAAAAATAAGTATAAATTATTAGAGAAATTGAAGAAACGACACATAAATTAGTTTAAGTATATCATAATATTAATGATTGGATTAATAGTAATACTTGCTTATTTTTTAATCATCTTCTTTGTAATTTTTATACTATCCCAACAATTATTTGCTAATGCAAACTTTCTATTTAAATTTAAATTAATCCAATCCTCTTTTATCAATATCATCAACAATATTGATTTAGTATGCTATAATACATATGATCAATACCGTTTCATAAATTTAATGGGTTAAGAGGAGTTTAATAATTATTCATCCTCATTAAAAAGTGATTAATAAGATCAGTACATAGAATTCAACAATAATTTCGCTTCCATTGTGAGTGATGAATATTTAAAATACAATTTGCAATAAATAAATGAGAATAATATATGCCTAGATTAGATTGGAATTGCTTGTAATGAAACTTCAGCCTATCTATTCAATCCCAATATATTCTCATCTTATTAACATGGAATGAAGTACTTAATCACTTAAATTGATAAACTAATTCAATCCTAACCGCATTTCTTCTACGATAATAAAAATAACAATACTTTTCAATAAGTACAGGACTTCCTATCAAGTAATGATCACATAATATACATTGATTATGGAAGTGAGGTCTTAACTAAAGCATATGCATAATTAGTAGACACTGCACATTAAGAATTTGATTAAGCACTAAAAATTTACAAGCAAACCCTAATGATATTTATATTAAGTGTAGGAATGCTTGGTTTGTTGATCATTTTAATGTTGGGTAAATTGCTGTTGAATATGCAATAGGATTCCATTCGTACATGCCAATCGTCACTTCTTCTCATTTCTCCTAAAAGATATTTGAATCAAAATATAGCATAATTAACATAGAAAAAAAGATGAGTGTTTTATTATCTTTTTTAACCAATTAAAATAATTATATTCTTATAACAGCTTTGTTTTCTAAAAAATCCCTTTGAGCAATCTTTGGTTAAGCATATTATGTTCAAAATTAACATTATTCTAGTTTATATTATTATAAAATTATTTTAATTAATGAACCCAACTTTCAAATAATCTCAGCAATTAGAAAATCACAGTAATATTATGGGGAGCAGTGCTGGGTTTAACAGGAGGATCAAGTTGTCCTCTTAAAGGCCTGGGAGTAGAGACTAAAAACTAAAAACAGGAGAAATGTATTTGAAAATATATTTAACTTAATAGATTTCCATAATTTTAAGATCCTTTAGCTACAAATCCATATAATTTGTTAAGTCTTAATCTCTATTAAGATGAAAATACATTTATTACAACTATGAAAGCAGAAATTTTATAAATACAAGAAGAAATCAATAAATTGGACATTGATGGACGTGTACTAATAAACAATTCATCTTTAGATTCGAAATAACGACCCAAGACAAGAGTATAGATTACAACAATTTAAAAAATGGGTTGCTCAAAATTCTACGTCTAAATTCACGTTTGACAAATTAAATAATATTGAAATCTCATAACTCCTCATTGTATTAGATGTTAGATCTTTAGAGTAATAAATATAATGGTATTTGAAGGGATGCTGTTGTCAAGCTCTATAAATTCTTATCCATTTTGGATAGTGTAATAATGAAAATTACAGAATATGAGGCCGTTCATTTGATCAAATTTGATGAATTATTTAGTTAATTGTGTCCTAATTATTAGGAAAATGTGCAATAAATGTCTGTCTTAAAATTTCCTGTTTCTATTGCTAATTTAAATCGCATGACTGAACTATATTAAGTTAAATTCGACAGGAACTAACCATAAAAGATAACTAATGATAATAGTAATAATTAAATGCTTCTCAAATAAAATAAGCAGAAAGATGACTAAATCCTCGAGTTAAATAAAACTATCAGATAATTATAATTATAAGCAAGTGTGAAGGGGAATAACAATAATAAAAATAATTAAGATTCTACAGAACAACTTGATTAAATTAAAAATGC